AAAAATATGAGCATAATAGTCCTGTCGTCATTTTTCTTTTCTATATCGATTCGAATGTATAATAGCTGACCACCATCGAATAACGTCGATAATAATACTCGGTCATTCAAATTAAATTAAATTATGCTACACGCAAATATAAGAATTTTTTCATTTTTTTTTTTTTTGTGGGCCACGCATTAGTAAACTTCATTTTCAAATAAGATCAATCAAACCTTTAAGCCATTTATTCTTATCGTAAAATGCTCAATCAGTTTTATAACTCTTACCTAGTCGTCAACTTTAACTATTAATTTGTTTCTTATTTAGGCGCGAGTACGAAGGAGACCATTGAAGCAATGTCTCTCAGAAAAATAAAATATAATTCTAAAAGAGAATCATCGCATTATCAGAAACAAATTTTTCCCACAAAAACTTCTTCAGCATCTGCACATCGGCGTACAGTGACCGTAATCTATTACTTAATATGAATTCTTTTCAATTTGACAAAATGAGCTTTTGTTTCAAAAACTATAAATAGGAGTTTAAAAAAATTGAAAATCAATTTGAGTATGTTATTAAGTCTAATTACTAGAGTTCGATTTTAAATTAAAAGCCTAAGAAGCTAAGATTTTACATATACACAATGATGACACTGTTTTGCCCATTTATTAAAAAAAAGGTAATTAACATTACGAATGAAGCAAAAATATTTTTTTCAACCTCTTTTTATCCGACCATGGGTTGAGCCCGAATATTACCCTCATATTCTTAAATCCTGTTCTACTAGTTTAACTGATTATCTCCTTCAAACAGATAACTACTGCTATACGTATGAATTGCATAATAGGACTTGTCTTTTTTCTTATACTTGATACCAATTATTATAGAAAAGGTTTCAGTCGATTTATGTGCTATTCCCGTTCGCGCAGCGCATTTTATCACCACAGTATTATTGTATTCATTTTATTGTATTCATGTTGACACAGCGTTCGTGCAACAGGGTGGCCGATACATCCGCTAAATGTACAGCCAGATGTACTCTGAGGTACATCAGTGCCGTATTGTCTACCTTTGCAGCAACGACCTCCGTGTGATGATATGATACATAATGCGGTGGACAACGAACAAGTTAGAAAACAAACGGACAAAAAATCCCTCTCTTTCACCACCAGGTGTATCATTGTACATGTCCGACAACAGAGTATATGACCCCACAGAGTTCAAGAATGCAGCAGTTTCTACAGTATTACTTAATCTATGGTTGAATACTCGAAATAACTTTTATATATAGCCCTTGTCAAATATACTAAATTAGAAATAATAATTTTTGTTTTGATACATCTAAACTTATTGATTCAAAGTGACGTGTTGTTTATTCATTTTTTAGGTAAAATTTTGTACAATAGAATCGTTCAAAATTAGTGTGTGTAATAAATAGATACATTTAAAATATAGTTGAGCAGATAAAAATGTTTGAAAAAAAATGAAGTGATTGAATACAGTAAAATAACATTTATGTTTTTAGTGTTGAGATTTAACAAGTATTTTTCCATTGTTTAATTAAAGAATAATATTTTAAAAGAACTAATTTTAATTGTTAAAATAAAAAACAAAAATTATTTCAATAAGAAATCATTATTATAAAGGATTTTATTGAATAACGTTTTTCACTATATCTTAATTAAATGTTTTAATTAAACATTATAATATATTTTCTTAATTATTTGATGAAAATAATACATCTTATTTTTAATATAGTCATTTTTGGACTCCACAATTTTATATTTATACACATAGCTTTGAGAGAATTCAAAGAATTCACGGTATGGTGTCCGTATTTGTTTTTATTTGTAATGATGTCGTCTGATGAGCTGTAATGATGTTGTTTTGATTTATGGAAACAGATGCGAGAACGCACCAACAGCTTAGGGTTAAGTCTACTTAATTAATCAATTGCGATGCATATAATATACGTATTTTTATGGATTGAAAAATAACAAAACAGGTGAGTGTGTGTGGTCACCACAAATGAAATGAGAGGAAAATAAAAATGATTAAGATGAACGTCTTGTAAAAAGTGATAGGTCATACGAGTACAAAATGGATACATTCGGGCTCTGTAGGGATGTTGGAAAATGGAAAGAATATTTGAGCTTGAAGTACTAATATTAATACAGACATTTTTTATTCTGTTCCATTGTAGTTTAACATAGCGAATACAACATAATAGAGAATAGATTGACCCTACAATTTTTTTTTTTTTTTTTTTAAGGGATAAGGGCGTAAGGAATTAATCAATTTAGATTATTACTTATAAGGAAAGTCTTATTTGAATACTATTTATTCTTGACTAATATGTATTATACATAGTATAATACATATTAATATATTATATAATACTATTTTATTATTCTATTACATTAGGAATATTTTTAAAATTGAGATAAGGAAAATATCAATCATACCAATTGTAAGAGTTAAATCTTTTTTGGATTTTAGAACCATCAATTATAGTAAGTAACAAAGTAGGAGGGATAAAGTAAGTTTCAAACATAGATATATCAAAGCTAAAATATTATTGTTGCATATAACAAAAATATTTTTGACAATATTATTAACTGCTCAATTTTGAGTTGATCTATATAATTTTCATGCTGTCTTCTAAATATAATTGTAGAAGATTAAGTTCTATTTGATACAAGTACGAATCCTAAATATTCGTAGATTATTGTCTTAGATTATTAGATTATAGATAGAAAATTAAGGGCACATAGCAATAATCAGGTTTTTCTCCATTTTCAAGAGTACTAATTTTATTAAAAGTTTACAATAAAATAAACGGTAAAATATTTTTTCTAGATTATAACAAATAACAGAAATATAAAACTATTTGTACTGAATTACCCCAAAAAATAATATGTATTCAAAATTAACAAAGAATGAAACTTTGAAAAAATTGGACTTGCCTGGTTGTCGTACTGTGTCTTTTACAATCATCAAGAGACTTAATAATTCGAACACAGCTTTAACTATATAAAGTTAATTCAATATTTTGATTTAAATAGTTATTAAAATCAAAACATTTAAATAGTATTTCAAAGCAGGCACGTAGCCAGAAAATGTTTATTGGAGGGGCCTTTAGGTCCTTGTATCATTTTCCATAATTTGTTTCTCATGAAAAGCCTGTGGGGGCCTTTCTCCACTCCTCCTTAGATAGTATCCCATACTATGAATCTTACAAGTTCAAAATTTTACCATTGGTTGGTTAAAAACAAATTGTTTTCGTATAAAGTATAATAATTATTACAGTATTATAAAAATAATGGATAGTACCTATAATTAAAAAAAAAAAAAATACTTTCATTTTCATTATCGGGATGTATTTTTCATATTGTGAAAAATAAATAAAATAATGATGTGAACATAAATTTATTTAATTTTTCAACTTTTAAGCTATTAAGAAAAAATAATTTATACATAAATACTAATAACAAAATAAGTTATAAATATAAATTATAAACAATGTAAAATTTATTTTATTTAAAATTAAAAACAATTCCTGTCTTTTTTTAGTCATATTTTTATTACTATTATTTAGAGCACGCAAATAACAAATTAACAAAAACAAATAAATTACCTATCGTAACTACTAAATTATAAAAAAAGAAACAGATTAAAGATAAGATTTATCAAAAAATATTTCATAGAGTATTACTCTATCGAATTTTGTAATCAACTAGATTCTAATCAATGCAGATAAATGGTAGTTTGTTATCATTTGTTGGACCAGAGTTAAAAAAAATTTACTCACAACCACATTTGGAGTAACTGCTATTCCATTTATTATTACGTCTAGAATGTTATCTTTTTCAAATAACACTTTCTATGAATATAAAAATGATATAATAATAATTGTATTACCCAATAGTATTCACAAATTAATAATAATTTCAATGTATATAAGGCCTAGCACGTTTTTGATGATTCGTAAAAATAATGGAATTTTAAATTTGGGGGGGAGGTCGGCCCTCGGTCACATTAAGTCTAAGGGTAACCCATATTTACGTGCCTGTTTCAAAGGATATATGATAATAATCATACATTCGTTATATTATTTAAGTTTGATTTGGAAAATGAGAATTACATTAACGAAAAAAATCATGATCACGTTATTTCGTCATAAATATTAAAAATGTAAAAGAATAAAAAATAATTTCATGACCTGAGTGCCAAAAGTTCAGCAATGATGAATAATAAGTTTTTATAATTTCTTTTTATGAACTTTAATTAAACATTAAACTCGTATACAAATGTTTCATTTGTATAATTTCACTTTCATATTAGTTTTGTTTTTAATATGACAAATATTGATGGAAGATTACGACAAAATTATTGTTGAGGTTATCAGTTCAGATGCCATTATTTATCATTAATAAAATATTATTGTCATTCGGGTTATTTTTTGTAAATAATTGTCATTTTTAAGGTATAATTTACAATTTGTATTTCCTCATACGACTAGGATTAAGGAGAGCTCTAGAGACTTGGGGAGATTTAGTTTCGAGTAACACGTAGGTGGTTATAATAATAATAATAATAATAATAAAATAGTATCGTAATATTTTAATCGCTTTGTACTCGGTCCGCGATGTGATGATAAATACCCTACCCCTTAAACTCACCACAGGCCACACACGCACACCTTTAAACGATTCTATAATGTAATATTATTATCATTATTATTCTGTTTTACTGAATATTGCGGTGGCTTTACTAATGCGCGCACACACACACACACACACTAGTCTACATTACTATTATTATGAACGGAAACCTATCGGTCGTGGAAGAAACGTTTCAGTGAGTGCCAGACAAGTCGGCTCCGAGATTATTATTATTATTATTATGAAGAGCGCAGCGGGTTGTCGTGGCTGCTGTTTGTTGGCACCCCGCTGATGTCCGCCACCGCCGCCTGTCAAATTCGATGTCCAGTATACCCTTCAACCCAACCACCCCCTCACACTTCCCGGTGCTCGTTAAAACCTTGTGCCGTGTCAATGTTTGGCATTGAGAAAGATTTATACGCCACTACCTACACGACCGCGGTTGCTCATTTTACTCTGTAGTCATTTAACAGGTTGTGATGTACACCACCACCACCGCCCAATGAGACCATTCGTGCGTAATGTTAATTTCTGCGACCGGATTATTACACTCAAACACATTTTTAGAGGTTATGACCACCGTGTGCTGCTCAACAGGTAATAAAGTCTGTGCATGTATATTTTGTATTTCCTACTGTAATCGCTGTTGTGTCAACTCGTTAGCAATAATCCGGCGATAAATTTGCATTTATATACTTGCAAGTACCACACTTGTCTTTAAGCAACGTGTTAATCGTTTTAAATGTTAACTGCAGCGACAATTGCATAAGATCAAAGTTTGATTTGAAATATGGTTAGTAAACATTACTTGTCTATACTCACACATGTAAATATAACAAAAAAAAAAACATTAAAATGAAATATTAAGTACAGCACAGTAGGGATTCAGTAAAGTGGAGTTTAGGCATTTTTTAGATTAGTATTGATTGATATTAAAATCACTGTCGTAAAACGCTTGTAAATGTCATTTGAAAATAACTAAAATTTGATTTAGCTTTGAATGGTATAAATGTTCCGTTGCTATGCAAAACATTTCAAAGTAAAAAAGAAAATTTTTCAAGCTTTCATAAAACCTTGATAAATGATTGATTCGAAAAAAAAGGATCTCGCCAATAAGTTAATATGTTTAATATTTAACATATTAATGTGTTATTAATAAAAATTTCACAATAATCCGTTCAGTTTTCGAAATATTATTTCAATGTAATAATTATTTAATTATAATTATTTCAATATGAAAACTAAAAATATCAACAATGACTGTTTTATAATAGCTGTAATTTTTGCGAGATTTTTTTTTTAAACCGGAACTAACTGAGAGGTATTAAAAACAAAAGAATAACGACAGAGTCAAACTACTCATCAAAGCTAATATTTGAATATGCTTTATTTTTTAATGTGAAATACTTTTCGATAAAGTTTTCCAATATTAGTGGAAAAGGAGGTATTTTTTTTATATTTCCGCTAAATCATTTCTTATAACTGACGCTATTATTCAATCCCATTGTTAGTCGTTAATATTTTCTATTAATTTAATCAAATAAATTAATTAAACTTGTATTTTTAAATATCTAAGTTATGATTTTATTAGTGTAAAAAAATAGATTAAATAAAATATGGTAGTTGTGTTACTTTGTACGTTATAAATAATTTATGGAAAGTAGAACTTATCTTTATTAGCAAAATTGTCAATAGTCACTGTGTTGCGGTACACAATAGACATTATGGAGGCGTTAGTAAATGTCAATTGTAATTCACGTTCATGTCCATCGCTCTATTATATTCTTTACCAAACAAAGTATTACGACCTATTCCTTTTTTGCTAACGTCATGCATTTCAATTATTAATCAAATTTGTCAGCAAAGTTATCAATATTAAATGAGTTTTGATTTTTAATTATTGCTGTAAATGACTAGATAATTTAATCAATGTAAATAACTTTTTCTCGATATAAAAAAACAATTATTTTTAGTGACGTCAATCTTATGTATTTAGTATTACGGTTGCAATACATATATATTATCGGACAATATCTTAGACGATATTTTTCTCATGATAAATATCCACAATTTTATAGAAATGATACTTTAATAATAAGCAATGAAAAAGTGGTAAAAAAAATTGTAAGTGGTGGTATCTCAGTAATTTTTTATCATAATGTACCCGTAAAATTTGACCTGGTCACCACTGAATATTTTAATTAAACAAACATTTTCTTTAATTGTACTAGTAAGTAGACATATGAAATTTAACACAAAGATAGGTCATACAATGTAAGTAATGGGAAAAATCTGAAAATTTTTGTTTTCTTAAATTTAAAGTCAGTTTAGGGATTTTCTTAACCCGACCAAACCCAAAATTCAATCAATGAGAAATTTTAATTCTGAAATTATGTTATATATGTATATATAACCTTACTCTAGTCGCTAAAGCAAATAAAAAAAATTATATTCCCATAAAATTTTAACTGTGAAAAAGTTCTCGAATACCCCTATCTAAAAAAAATATACTTTTTTTTTACATATACCTTTAAAAATATTTTAATCTATTTACTTTACTATATTATTCTTTACTTATATACTACTTTGATAGGTAATATGCCAATCAGAGTAGTGATATTTGCATTATGGCCTGGTCTGTTTAACTTAAACTTGATTTATACTTATTAATAAGATTTTTTTTGTTTTTAAATTATTTTTTATTGAATTTATTGTAACAGCTGTATTTAACAAAAAAAAGTTTAAAACTATAAAATTACCCATTTGGTTCAATTTTCAATCATCTTGTGAGTCGTCTTAGAGTCAATCGATCTTGACCAAATTTTGTCAATTTTATTCTAATTCACAATAAAAAACTTACATAATAAGACGGTGAAGTTTCAAAAAAAATATTTCCTTTTATATTTAAGGGCCTATACTTAATGTTGAACTCATAATAATGTGGCTACACATTGTATTGGTATATTTATAACGCATATTATACTGGTGTTACATACCCACTCTATGTTTTAAAAGGCTTTTTTAAAAAAAAGATTACATAAGTTTAAACTAAAGACAGGAAAACAAGTAAAAATGAACATGTTTTTGAGTCCTAAAGAGTTTCTTTCTTTTAATTATTACAAAATATTAAAAAATAGGGTTTTTTTAAGTTTATTTTTTTCTACATGGTTTATTATTATTTGTCTTTAAGTATATTTAATTGATCTTGAGGCAAGTATACTTGGACGCCATCCATTTGGCATGTTTCACAGCTCTTGGTGTACAAAATGATATTTTGTTTTTAGGAATACCTCCTAAAAAAAACATTGTCAATAATTACAATAATCTAATAATTCACTGTAATTGTTACCATGCTGTTGTTTTTGCTAATAAATATTGCATTTACTGAAATCAAGAATAGAAGAATGGATATCATTAAGTACATCATTGCTTTGTAGTAAACACTCTTATCGATTTTCGACCAATTATCTTTTGAAAATTAAGACGTCTGCACTAGAAATTGGATTCATCAATGATTCAAAATAGCCTTTTAATACTAAATGTACTACAATATAAGAAAAAAAAATCCACGATTTTCTACTAGAAGAAATCGTTAATAGAATTAGCAACTTTTATGATTTAGCAATTGTAAAACTAAAATAATGTGTACATTTAATATACAAAATATTGTAAAGCTTAAAAAATTAACATCAAAGCATTTCTAATGATAATGATGTCAATCACTGTCGGATATTATCTGTACTTGTCCCAAATATGCCACATCACCATTGTGCTACAGCCCCACTTTGATGAATTTTTGTCTATTAAAAACAAATAATAAAACATATACTTTTTAGGTATTTTATAAAAGTGTGAAAATTACTATTTTATTTTAAGTGCAAAAATTATTAAATAAATGTACATTATAAATACAAATAAATTTGTACACCGGAGGAAAACAATAGCAAGTTACACATTTTTTTCTCTAAAAATGAGAGGAAGATATTTTTTAAATAGTTATTTAATAAGCATTCTAGAAGAAGTCTCGACTTATTTTCGAAAAAAAATGAGACGTGGGATAATTTACATTTGGTGTACAGATATGTGTACATGAAAAAATGTAATAGTTGTCAGAGACGTCTGACAAGAAGTGACATTGCATTCTGAGATTTTTTATGTCACTAGCAGAAATTTAATTTGAATTTAAATTATTGTCAATATAAAATAGATTCTACGGTAACTGTTACTAACAAAATTCTAAAAACTAAAAGCGTTATTTGACGGAGACAGGTTGGATTTATACGATCTATGGATAGTGGATGTAAAAGTGTCTGTTTATTTCTAGGCTTACTCCAAATAGTTAATAATAAAGATATTAATGTTCTAGGAAGGGACTTGTTATGTAATGTGTATACTAATTATTATTATGTCGTAATTATTGGTGTCGTAGACCGTAAGTAAAAAATGTTAAAGGGGGGGGGGGTTAACAATTTGTTTAAATACAAGTAAAAATTTAAAGACTATTTTACAATTATCATTAAAAAAAATAGGTTGTCATGTGAATTTCAAGGAGGGGGGTTGGCACTATCCCCCAAGCGCCATTCTAACATGTGGGGTAACTTGATAGATTAAATTTCTGTCAATTTATATTATCATTGTACTATTGCGGTGCAATGGAAGCACAAATAATTATGGTAATATTCTTATCCATAATAAGTGTAGTCTCTATAGAATTCAAAACTGGCGGCTTGGTTATGGAAGAGTCATCGCTGACACTAGACAGCACTACAATGCTAAACATTTTCTAGGCTGTTAAGTGTATACGAGCGCGATAAATGCACTTACAAAGAATGATAATACTAATGTACAGCGTCTGAACTACGGTCTTTATAGAGGTTAATGATATCATTGTATGTGCGCACTCAGTAAACAATGGCGGCCACCGACGGGTATGCCATTTAATCTGCGTTATAGGTGGAGGAGTATGTGTGGGAGGAAAGAGGACGGGTCGAGAAGTTTATTAGGATGTCGGGTGGTAGCGAACGGGGCGGCCAATAAAAACGAGAAAATCGCGGATAGGTGTGGTTAGTATGGTACGCGATAAGTAAAAAACCACAGAACGCAAGACGGCAACGGTTTTTGTATTACTTGGGACTTGGTCAATACTTAATTTTCAGTATTAATTGAACATAATAGATAATAAATAATTATTATCGATCATCAAATAACAGTGTCTAAAACCTACCCACACTAATCGTGATTTTAGTTTACTCATTTCTGTTATCATTCATTTTTTCATGAAAACATATAATCTTTTATGTATTTATAACGTTTGCAAATTAATTTATTAATATAAAAATGGAACACCATAATTAATCCAAGCACAAAAATAGATCACCAGTTAAACATATAAATACAAGTTCACACTCATTTCATGCATTAGGATATACTAAAGTAAACTGATAATAAAGATTTATAAATATTACCTATTTATAACATTTAACGCATACGCCGTAATGAAGTATAATTATTTACCAATTATAAAAAAAAAGATAACCATTAATGTATTAAACATTATACTTACTAATATATATATATCGTTAAATTACTATGATTAG